AAGATAAACTCCCTAAGAGCTTTATTCTTATCCAGGCTGAGGTCCTCCCCCATTCTAGGACTTTTATAGCTTATCCGTTTATTCTGGATTCTGGTATCTCCGCAGATAACCTCAACCTAGCCGAGATCATCTCGGCATCATGACCAGGACACATGGCACCTCAGTTAGCACTTCGGTGCCACCTTGGCCACATATTTGTTACTAAAAAAATATGTCCCCACACACATATATATATATATATATATATATATATTAACAACACAAAATTAGCAACTTTTCTTTTTAACAATACAAACTGAATATTTTATAAAATTAAATTTAAAATAGAGAATCTGATGAAATGTGTATATAAAAAAATGTTAGTAAAAATAAGAAAAGAAATTTTTTTTGTTATAATTTGATTTAAAATTTGCCGAGACTGATATAGATATTCTAAGCTAAAGTTTCTACTCACTTTTAATTGCAACAATAAGTTCTCATATCTCACCATAAATATAAAGGGTTTGACTTCTCTCATGTTGGAAATCCAACTTAAGAGAGTTTTTGGATTTAGTAGGCTTATTACAAGCCCAATCTCAACGATCCAAACCATTCATTTTTTATAACTCATTAAGAAGAATATTCATGTAAAAAATTAAAATGATTATATTTTGGTAGATATATATTTGAATCATATTTGTCTTTAAAAATAGATGATTATTCTTGAAACTATATTAGCCGTCCATTTTTTAAAGATAAATGTGATTTAAATATATAATTAGCGAAATCCAATCATCTTAATTTTTTTCATAAATATTCTTCTTAATGAACACTAAGAAGTGAACAGTTTTTGATCATCGAGATTTGGTTTATAATAGGCCCATTAAGCCCAACTGCTTTTTGAAGTTGAATCCCTAATATGAGAAAATATCATACTTTTTGAGGGGTAAATTATACTGGTATTTTTTATATCTTAATTGTTGTGTCATTTTAGTTCTTATATTTTTAAATTTTTGTTAATATGTGCACTAAAAGTATATGTTAAGAAAATATTAAACAAGTACAACTATTTCTACTAAGGAAAATGCTTGGTAGCTCGAATTTATGTGATTCGAATGACACGAATGTATCAAAATGACATTGTTTTGAGACATTCAAGCCATTTGGATCATAAAAATTCGAACTATCAAGTGTTATTATTCTACTAATATAAAAAGTTGTAAAAACTTAAATCTTGTCATTTTTTTTATAGTAAGATCAAAACATCTTTTTGTTTTTCCTTTTATTTTATTTTATTTTTTGTCTTTGTTTGTTATAGAAATAATTTTTCAAACTCTAAAAACATCTTCTTCTTCCTTTTTTTTTATTAAATTAATTTCTAATTTTTCAAAATAAAATTTAAAAATTTAACCAAACAAAAATAATTTCTAACTAAAGTTCTTTCAATTTGGATTAACCTGTTATAAAAATTATGGAAAAATACAACCATAAAATTAAATATAAAAAATAAAAGAGAAGATAAATAGTGGACAATTTTTTTTTTTTTTTTTTGATCAGGAAAAAAGGGCTCTGAGGTGTCATCACGGCTTCGTGGACCTTGATCCCGGGACAACCGGTTGCCAGTCAGGAATTAACTCCCATCATGTGAGGGACCCACCACCAGGGCACCAGGGGAGCTCAACTATACGCCATAGGCCACCGAGGGTTCAAACCGGAGTACAGAGGGAGGGTTCTCAAAGAGAATACTTCCACCTCCCCCCAAGATTCGACCCTGAGTCATGCTTGTGGAGACGAGTTGCTTTCTCCACTAGGCCACCACCCCGGTGGTATAAATAGTGGACAATTGGGTAACTATATTTACGGTTAAAGTTTGTTGTGCTATCGTATGATAAAATTAGGCTTTTAATTATAATTTTTTTTTGTTTTTATTTATTTTTAATATTAATAGTTAAAAAGCTTACCATTTGACTTTGTATACCACGAATGGAGTGTTTTTGTCTGCATAAAAGAAAATATCATATTTATTATCCTTTTTAAAAATATTAAATTTATTTATACTTTTGTTCAACATTTTCTATATTTTTAATGAAGAATGTTTAAAATTCACAGAAAAAAAATCTCACAGGTATACTCATAATAATGCAATATTATATGTGTTAACTTTTAATTTGTTATACATCTAAAAATATAAGGTCTTACTCTTTTGCCACATCTGAGTTAAAAATGTGAGTCTATATCATTACTCAATTTATGGATTCAATTTTAACGTTAAATTTTTTACTTTGTCTCAATTTAGTCTAATTGATTATAATTATTACATTATTTTATGAAAAATGTGCAGAATAGTGGCTTGAGCCATACTTTTAAGAGTAAAATTATAAACTTGATCAATTTATTGAGTTAACCTCAATCAACACTATGATTAGTTTTTGTAAAAAGATCTTAATAGTGTATGAGAGGGTTCAAGAACGTCGTTGAAAAATTCGAAGATCTTCGAAGATCCTTGAAGAACAACTTCGAATTCTTTAAAAGATGATGAGAGGCTTAGATTCTTCAATAGTCTCAACTTAGGAACACAAAAGCAAATGAGATGATGGAGATAAGAGATTGGGTGAAGAAGAAGGCAAAATAACTAAAGTGAGAATAATGACAAGGCTCTCCCATGGATCTCCCACTTTCACTCTCAAGGTTGATAATGGAGAAGGGAAATTAGTTCTTTCCCAAGAGTTAAATCTCCAAAATCCATCCCTTGTAAAGTTATGGGTGGGTGCTATTTATAGGCACCTCATGATGTAGGATGGAGTCCATGTGCAAAGCACATTGGGAATATTCTGTCTAACCACCTTGTCCGAGGAGGTGAGCTCTCCGAGGATGAGGAAAATCCCGAAGAGGAGATCAACCCCTCGGCGAACCCTTCTTCTTAGCCACACCTAACCAATGATCCCCAATCATCCCAAAGGGTCAGGGGTAGTCCCAGAGGACGTCCTGTCGCATAAGGGTTAGGGGTAGTTCAAGAGAACGCCCTGCCACAAATATTGTCGGGTCTCAGGGACCCCCTAGATCGTGTCACCTCAACCCGGGTATAGGCTAGTTTAACTGAAGAGTGAATTTATCTCCACTCACCGTCCTCGGGATCGGGTCCTTTGTTCGGACTCCATTGCGCCCATGGTTCTAGTATGTAGATCCTAGAAAGCTCCGAGTCCGCAAGTGTTCTGGGACTCATTAATGGAGTGGCTTTTAGATTGCGTCTGAATCCGTTCAAAGCCAAAGTGCTTCAGATCTCTAGATTCGTGGGTTCGAATCCTTTCGAGTCCGGGTGCCTCGGATCTCTAGGCTTGCTCAATACTCTTTCGAGTCCGGGCTCGAGTAAGTCTCTAAGTTCGTGGATCCGAACCCTTTCAAGGCTTAAAGCGATTCGGCCCGTTTGATGGCGATAAATCCGGGCCCACCAATCTTGGACTTGCGATAAATTCGGGCCAACCAACCTTAGACTATTGGGCCTAATTAATTTAGTGGACTTAAATTAACTTCTCTTACATTTGCCCCTTGCATGTATGAGAAATTGTAGTTTTCTCGGACATGCATAGTTTCACTTTGTCAGCCATGTTTCACATTATGTCTTCGGGAATATTTGGCCTTAATAGAGTCTAAGGATAAAGCTGAGGATTCACCGTAATTTACAGATAAAATCGACAAGTAATATTAAAAAAAAAGATAAATACATAAATAAATTTTTTTTTTTTTTAACAACTGAAAATATGTATACTTTTTTTTTTCACTCTAAGAAAAATAAAGTACTCATCAAAATACTTCTCCATTCCAAGAATAAATAAATCACCCATTATCATCATTTTCCATTCTTAAATAGATAAAGGCCTACACCTTTTATGCACTAAGGATCCTCTAGAGTGAAATTTTCCTAAAGTTTCTTGGAGTACTACATTGTGTGGTTGAGATTTACTGGCAAGTCACATCAGAAAAATTGATGTGACTTGCCATTAAATCTCAACCACACAATGTAGCACTCTAGAAAACTTTAGGAAAAAATCACTCTAGAGAATCCTTGCTTCCTTTTATGGGCTTCAGCAGGTCTCCTATATATATACATATTTATATTCAGAATATGTGAGGAATATTCCATGCATCACATCCCTTTTTTTTTTTATTTAAAGAAAAGGATAGCAACCCTAATCAATCTATAGCCACTCACATTTTCTTTGTTGCACAGCCGTTTGCACAGACCTCCATCACAGCATCAAGCAATGCCGCCGACCTGTCCCAGCGTCGTGACCCAGCCGTTGTCTTGTTTCAGTGACGCGATTGCCGCAGACGTGCGATTCAAGCTACTGCTCGCTATCGGTGCTTCACTTCAACCTAGTGAGCTTAGACATTCGGGAACGCGGGATCTTGGTTTTGCTCCTACAGCCGTTGAAGTCTACCTCTGCTTGTGTATCGATCGTCGTCTCAACCCTCCGAGTGCCGCTGTAACTCCGGGCGCCATCGCCGTGGCCGTCACCGAAGACCCACATCAGCTTGCACACCGTCTGTCGTCACAAGTGTGGATACCATCAGCTTAGTAACTCAAGTAACCACCGGTTCACGCCTACACCAGCTCCACTTCATTTCGATGCTTCACGCTCTCCACCTTCAACTTTACCACCGTCTTCAGCCGTGATCTGGCCAACGCCGACCACGCCCGCCCTTTCAACGTGGCGTCGGTCTGCCCAGCTACTCCGTCGCTTGCACACCGCCTGCTGTCGTAGCTTCGTCGTAACACCAACCTTTCTAGTGTTTTCCAATACACCGTCGCCCAAAATATTATCTGCAGATCTACCTATTCCATGCGAGAACCAGATGTGGATCTGTCCTGTGCGCGCGACCAGTCACCTCGCGCGGCTTGTGTGCTTTTCATCTGTCACTTGCGGCCTCGCTACCACTTCCAGTCGCGCCTGGCCAGCGCTGACCATGCCGTCCACTAAACGCGGCGCCGGTCTACCCAGCTGCTCTCCTTCCACACTAAAATGGCGAATCAACAACAAATAACGACTCGGCCACGGATCCTCGAAGCTGTGTCTTTAACGGTAGTCATTCTAATAGCCGCTCACGTCTTGGCTCTAGTTTATTGGATTTACAGCTTGGCTACTAAGAAGCAGCCTCAGAGAAAAAAGGAGCACTAGATCTAGATCAATATATAGGAACAAAGAAGGGAATCTTCAATTCAACAGTAGTTTTGATGGTATTTTAATATATTCTTGGAATCTATATTCTTGGCTTTTGGCATGACTAGTGCTTTGCTACCAAGGAAAATAAAGTTCTTGTTGAATCTTGACTTGTAAGAGAAATGTAGTCTTGAAATTCATGCTTTGCAATTTGGCCATGTTGAGAAATTTGTCATAAATTGAGTATTAATCTGTTGTTTTGTTGATCTTGTGGATGCTCGGGAATTACATAGTCGATGCTTGATGCATGATGCATGATGTCAAAATTTTGTTTGAACATTTTAGTTTTTATATCGGCTCTAGAGAAGTCGGCCCGAAGGGACAAAACCTTGATTGTTGCATTCTCATGAATTTGTTTGGAGGAATTGAATTGTTGTAACTTAAATAGATCATTATTATTTGTTGATGTTGCCCCATTCCAATAATGCCTGAATCAGGATATGAAATTGATATTGCTCGTCTCATTTGTCAGTTTTACTATTTCAGGCATATAAATTTTTTGTGCGAAATCCACGACCCTGAGGCCCTCAAAATCTTCACTAATGAGAGTGAGGGCTGTCCTTCGGAAGTCAGAACGAGAGCAAAACTGTCCCTTAGGAGTCCGAAAGTAGCATACACTCTACTTCGGCAAGAAAGATCCCTCTGGACAGCAACCGAGTCTACCAAGCTTGCACGAATAAAAGTAAAGATTGTCTCTCAGAAGTCCGAGCAAAAACAAGGCTGTTCCTCAGAAGTTCGAGTGGAAACAAGGCTGTCCCTCAGAAGTCCGAGCAGAAACAAGGTTGTCCCTCAGAAGTTCGAGCGGAAACAAGGCTCTCCCTCAAAAGTCTGAGTAGAAACAAGGCTCTCCCTCAGAAGTTCGAGTGGATGCGCACTTCTACTTCGGCAGCTAATGGAAGCAAAGGCTATCCCTCGGGAGTTCGAGGAGGAGTCCACACTACTTTGAAAAGAAAGATCCTCAGAGCTCGTATTGATGAATACAAGGGCTATTCTTTGGACCTGCACTAATAAGAGTAAGAGTTGTCCCTCGGCAGTTCAAATGGAAGTTCAAATGGAAGCAAGGCTGTTCTTCAAGAGTTTAAATAGTAACACACAACCTACTTTGGCAAGAAGATCTCTTCTGATAGGCCATCGAGTCTCGAGGGCTGTTCTTCGAAAGTCTGAGTGGAAGAACACACTCTACTTCAGCAAGAAAGATCCTTGAGGCTTGCACTGATAAAAGCGAGGCCTGTTCTTCGAAAGTTTGAGTGAGAGCACACACTCTACTTCAACAAGAAAGATCCTCGAAGCTCGCACTGATGAAAACGAGATTTGTTCCTTGGAAGTCCAAATGAAAGCAAGGGTTGTCCCTCAGAAGTCTGGGCGGAAGCACACTCATTTCTTTGGCAAGAAAGATCCCTCCTGGCTGGCAATCGAGTCTACCAAGCTCGTACTAACGAAAGTAAAGATGTTTCCTGGAAATCCGAGTGAATGTAGACTCTCTTCTTCGGCAATCAATGGAAGCAAATGTTGTCCCTCGAAGCTCACACTGACGGAAGCGAGATCTGTTCTTTGAAAGTTTGAGAGGGAGCACGTACTTTACTTCAGCAAGAAAGATCTTTGAAGCTCGCATTGATGGAAACAAGGGCTATTCTTCGGAAGTTCGAGTGGGAACACACACTCTACTTCAACAAGAAAGACCCTCGAAGCTTGCATTGACGGAAGGAAGGGCTATTCTTCAGAAGTCCGAGTGGGAGCACACACTCTGTTTCAGCAAGAAAGACCCTCGAAGCTTGCATTGAAGGAAGCAATGGCTGCTCTTTGGAGGTCCGAGTGGGAGCACACACTATTTTGGCAACTAATGAAAGCAAATGTTGTCCCTCTCTGAGCGGGAGTACACTTCTACTGCGTCAAGAAAAGTCCCTTCAGGTTGGTAACCGAGTCTGCTATTTCTCTTTCTTCTTCGAGGGGCAATAAAAATTGAAAACTGTTTCAAGCAACATAACACAATGAAGATATACAATGTAGAGAAAATAACTTCTAATGGAGATACATAATATAGAGGAAATAACTTTCATCATAACATAAGAAAGAAAGATAGAAAATTCTTAAACAATGCAATAAATACAAATTGCAAATGTCATAGATAGACTTCTTCTACGGAATGTTGAAATTTGCCCCTAGAGTTGCAAGATCATTTGGAAAGCTTTCACCAGCTGCCCGGGTTGTGGCCATCATGCACCATCATAGCCATGTCTTCTAAGATATCTTGGGGCTCTTGTTCTCTGAACTCTATCTCATGTGCTTCGACTTTCTTTCTAAAGATCTTCTTAAGCATCCGGCACTTTTCTATAGGATGTCCTAGTGATGGTGGAAAACACAATAATTAGGACCCTCGCGGTCCTTCTTCGGCAAAAGCTCTTCGATACGAGGCAATTTTAGTTCTCCGTCTGCTACCCATTCTTTAACTAAGGTCTTTACCTCCTCAACACTACATGAAAAAGGAGTGTCATCTTCACAGTTTTTTTCCTCTTCTGACCTCTGAATTCCTCCCCCTACAACTTTCGTGTAGAAAACGAGGAAGCCACAGTGACAGAAGGTCCTCGGGATGACTTGAAGCTGGTTTTATAACTAGTCTTGAACCCGATCTCCTGAGATTGAGGCACGTTGATGTTCTGAGATGCTTCAATTAGTGCCGAGAAGGTAGGTAACTTGTGATTAACAAGAAGCATCTTGTACCCGTTCAATGCCCCTTCAACACAGATTTGGGCCAAATAGCTTTCCTCTACAACCTCATGACAGTCCACGGCTTTGTCTTGGAACCTCTTCACATATTCGAGAATGTCTTCACCTTCCCGTTGCTTTTACACAGGGTGAGTGTGGTCACTTTTTCGGCCACTTGAAAGAATTTGGCGTGGAATTTGTTGACCATCTCCTCCTAACTTCGAACAGAGTTTGGGGCCAAGTTAACGTACCAACTATATGCTCGGTCGGTGAAGGACTTGGAGAATTCTCTCAATCAAAGGACATGATTTGAACCATGAATCCCCAAAGTCTCGATGAACCGAACAACATGTTCTCGAGCATTTCCTTGCTTGCCATTGAATTTCATGAACTTCGGCACCGTGTACCCCTCCGGGTATGGATAACTCAACATCTCAATAGGGTATGGTGGCTTGACATCCGGATCAGGCAAAAAGGGTAAAGTCCTCTTGCCCCATTCGAGATCGAACATGGCTTGCACATCGGCGAGAGTGAGAAATTGTTGAGGAAGAGAACTTGATGGTGGTATTCCCGGAACCTGACTTGTAGACCCGAAGACTGAGCTTGGAGCAACTTGGCCATTTGGGTGTTGAGAATTCACCATCGGTGAAGACATATGATGAAATTGGCCATCAACACCTATGGACACGCCATTTGGTGATGGGACGTTGCATTGGGTCCCATAAAGTTCATTGCACGCCATGGCTATACAGGGTTAGACTTGCAAACTCGGCATCGGAGCCAAAAGAGACGGAACATGAGTAGAATTTACAATCGGTAGAACAAAATTAGGCATGGATGGAGCACCATTTTGTAGAGAAATTTCTGTAGGCTTTCTTTGAACTTCCATAGCCATTGGAACACCATTCGTCGCGTCAGAAACTCCTCTAACCACTGCTGGACCATGGCTCAATCCTCCAGGTGCGTGATTTTGCGCTCTATGGACCGCAGGTTGGCCATGACTTGTTCCTCCTAGCACTTGATTTTGTACACCATTTTGTATAACTTTAGGGAGAATTTGGGGTGAATCTTGATGGTTTTGACCATTCCCAACATCACCATGAAGTTGTTGATGATTGTCGACGCCGATTTGACCTTCATTTGTTACCGGTGGTGCGAAATGTGAACCCATCACCAATATGGTGTGGGTGAGATTTTGAAGGATCGTGAGAATCTCTTGCTGAGTGTGTTAGAGTCCTTGAATGGCTTCAAAGATGAGAGGTGAGTCTTAAACTTGAGTCCTTTCATCACCACTATTGGAAGAGCCTTGCTGATGAGTCTCATTATCTGCCATTTTTGCCGATGTTGTATGAGTTCCAGATCTCGTTGAGACCATTAACCAATTCGCCTCCCCAGTGAAGTCACCAAATGTATGAGAGGGTTCAAGAACGTCGTTGGAAAATTCGAAGATCTTCGAAGATCCTTGAAGAACAACTTCGAATTCTCTAGAAGATGATGAGAGGCTTAGATTCTTCAATAGTCTCAACTTAGGAACACAAAAGCAAAGGAGATGATGGAGATAAGAAATTGGGTGAAGAAGAAGGCAAAATAGCTAGAGAGAGAATAATGGCAAGGCTCTCTCATGGATCTCTCACTTTCACTCTCAAGGTTGATAATGGAGAAGGGAAATTAGTTCTTTCCCAAGAGTTAAATCTCCAAAATCCATCCCTTGTAAAGCTATGGGTGGGTGCTATTTATAGGCACCTCATGATGTAGAATGGAGCCCATGTGCAAAGCACATTGGGAATATTCTCTCTAACCACCTTGTCCGAGGAAGTGAGCTCTCCGAGGACGAGGAAAACCCCGAAGAGGAGATCAACCCCTCAGCGAACACTTCTTCTTAGCCACACCTAACCAATGATCCCTAATCATCCCAAAGGGTCAGGAGTAGTCCTAGAGGACGTCCTGCCGCATAAGGGTCAGGGATAGTTCAAGAGAACGCCCTGCCACAAATATTGCGAGTCTCAGGGACCCCTAGATCGTGCCACCTCGACCCGGGTATAGGCTAGTTTAACCGACGAGTGAATTTATCTCCACTCACCGTCCTCGGGATCGGGTCCTTTGTTCGGACTCCATTACGCCCATGGTTCTAGTACGTAGATCCCGGAAAGCTCCGAGTCTGCAAGTGTTCTAGGACTCATTAATGGAGCGGCTTCGTGATTGCGTCTGAATCCATTCGAAGCCAAGTGCTTTGGATCTCTAGATTCGTGGGTCCG